TTTTTTTTTTTTTTTTTTTTTTGAGACAGAGTTTCACCCTTGTTACCCAGGGTGGAGTGCAATGGCGCGATCTCGGCTCACCGCAACCTCCGCCTCCTAGGTTCAGGCAATTCTCCTGCCTCAGCCTCCTGAGTAGCTGGGATTACAGGCATGCGCCACCATGCCCAGCTAATTTTTTTTTTGTAGTTTTAGTAGAGACGGGGTTTCACCATGTTGACCAGGATGGTCTCGATCTCTTGACCTCGCGATCCACCCGCCTCGGCCTCCCAAAGTGCTGGAGAGTCTTAGAATATATGGGATGTATCCCAGGGATAAGAGGATATTACTATATGTATAAAGGCAGGTTCTTTCACCATTTTTTTCAATATAATACCAAATAAATTCCTTTTCTTTGAAAATATGCCTACTGATGAGTGCCTTGCCCCTTTTTCCCCTTGATGCATCATCTGTGGTTTCCAGTTTGGTTTATTTAAAGTGACATCACATTTGTAAAGCTACCTGGATATATATATATATTTTTTTTTTTTGGAGATGGAGTCTCGCTCTGTTTCCCAGGCTGGAGTGCTGTGGCGCGACCTTGGCTCACTGCAACCTCCGCCTCCCGGGTTCAAGCGATTCTCCTGCCTCAGCCTCCCAAGTAGCTGGTGTAAGGTTAGCTGAGCAAAAGAAGAGTAGACTCAAAGTCAGGCAAGCAAGATTTATTAACCTGCCGGGCTGCCCCATAACAATCAGAGGAGGAGGCCCGGAGCTTACAAAACTAGGGATTTATATGGGGTGACAGGGGCATAAGGGAGTTTCAGGACTGAGCTATCTATTAGCTTGTAACAGGCACGGAGATAGTTTGTTAACTTTTGGCAGCCTTACAATACATTATCCTGTGACTTTCATAGCAGCAGTTTTTGAAAAACAGGATTTTACAAGTATGTGTAAAACAAGAATTTACAAGTATAGGTAACAAACATTTGTTTTCCCTGTCCTCCCACAGCTGCTCAAGTGGCTGTAATCCTGCTTTGCTTAATTGTAGCACGTCTGGCAGCCTTGCTGTGGCACCTAGCTAGGAGTTTCAGGAATGCAGCTGCAGAGCAATCAGAGTGGGGGGTCAGCTTGCACGGAGGGGGTTTTCTGAGGCAGCTTGTCCCTAACAGCTGGGGCTACAGGCATGTGCCACCTAGCCTGGCTAATTTTTTATAGTTTTAGTAGAGACAGAATTTCACAGTGTTAGCCAGGATGGTCTTGATCTCCTAACCTCAGGTGATCTGCCTGCCTCGGCCTCCCAAAGTGCTGGGATTACAGGCATGAGCCACCACACCTGTCCAAAGCTACCTGATTTTTAAATGATTTTTATGATTTCCCCCAGATCCCTTAAAGTTATCTCCCCCATGTCTAATAAAACAGAAGTATTTAAAGGTTAGCTTTTTTATTTGTTTTCAAAGTAATATTACATAAAGATATTTTGTCCTTTTTTTTTTTCCTAGATGGAGTCTCACCCTGTTGCCTAGCCTGGAGTGCAGTGGCAAGATCTCCCCTCTGCATCCTGGGTTCAAGCAATTCTCCTGCCTAAGCCTCCTAAGTAGCTGATACTACAGGTGCATGCCACCATGCCTGGCTAATTTTTGTATTTTTTAGTTTCACCATGTTGGCCAGGCTGGTCTCGAACTCCTGGCCTCACATGATCCACCCACCTCAGCCTCAGCCTCCCAAAGTGCTGGGATTACAGATGTGAGCCGTCCTCCTCAGCCTATGTGATGTATATTTATTTATCCATTTTGGGTGATTTTTGTCTGTTTAGAGACAGGGTCTTCCTCTGTTGCCCAGGATAGAGTGCAGTGACACTATTGTAGTTTATTGCAGCCTCAAATTCCTGGGCTCAAGTGATCCTCCCACTTCAGTTTCCTGAATAGCTAGGATTACAGATATTGTGACACTCTAAGCAGAGCCACATCCAGCTATTTTTTTTTTTTTTTTTTTTTAGAGACAGGATTCTGCTATGTTGCCCAGGCTGGTTACCAACTCCTGGTAAACTCTATAAAAGCAGAGAGTTTGGCCAGGCATGGTGGCTCACACCTGTAATCTCAGCACTTTGGGAGGCCAAGGTGGGCAGCCCACTTGAGGTCAGGAGTTCAGGACCACCCTGGCCAACATGCTGAAACCCCATTTCTGCTAAAAAATACAAATATTAGCCAGGCGTGTGGCAGGGGCCTCTTGTCCCAGCTACCTAGGAGGCTGAGGCCTAAGAATCTCTTGGACCTGAGAGGTGGAGGTTGCAGTGAGCCAAGATTGCACCACTGTACTCCAGCCTGGGTGACAGGGTGAGACCCTGTCTCACAAAAAAAAAAAAAAAAAGAAAAGAAAAAGAAGAAGAAGATGGAGGGGGCCACATGTCAAGGAATGCAGGTGGCCTTTAGAAGCTGAGAGTGGTCCCTGGCTGAGAGCCAGCAAGACATCAGCCCCATAACCACCAGGAACTAGATTCTGCCAACAACCTTAGTGAGCCTGGAAGTAGATTCTTCTCTATAGTCTCCAGATAAGACCCTAGCCCAGCCAACAGCCAACACCTTGATTCAGCTTTGTGGTACTCCAGCAGAGAACTCAGTCAAGCCGGTCTAGCCTTCTGACATAGAGAACTGTGAGATTATAAATAGATGTTGTTTTCAGGCTGGGTGTGGTAGCTCACACCTGTAATCTCAATACTTTGGGAGGCTGAGATGGACGGATCACCTGAGGTCAAGGGTTCAAGACCAACCTGGTCAACATGATAAAACCCCCTCTCTACTAAAAACACAAAAATTATCCAGGCATGGTGGCAGATACCTGTAATCCCAGCTACTTGAGAGGCTGAGGCAGGAGAATCACTTAAACCCAGGAGGTGGAGGTTGGAGTCAGCCGAGATCATGCAATTGCACTCCGGCCTGGGCAACAAGAGCAAAACTCCCTCTCAAAAATAAAGAAAGAAAAATAAATGGCTCATGTCTGTAATCCCAGCACTTTGGGAGGCCAAGGCTGGGGGATCACCTGAGATCAGAAGTTCAAGACCAGCCTGGCCAAAATGGCGAACCCTTGTCTCTACTAAAAATACAAAAATTAGCCAGGTGTGGTGACACATACCTGTAATCCCAGCTACTCTGGAGGCTGAGGCAGGAGAATTGCTTGAACCCAGGAGGTCGAGGTTGCAATGAGCTGATACCATGCCATTGCACTTCAGCCTGGGTGTCAGAGGGATACTCCCTCTCAAGAAAAAAAATAAATAAAACAAAATAAAATAAATAAATAGATGTTTTCAGCCACTAAATTTGTGATAATTTGTAATAGAAATCTAATAAGATATTAAATCAGTAGTCTTACAACTGTGTAAAAAAGGTTCACTGCTAAGCCAAATAATGTCACTGTGACTTTTCCTTTTATTTTCCCTATCCCTTGAGACTTTTTGTTTAACCCTAGTTAAGCAATTCTTACCCCAGTTAAGAATTGCTAGCCTGGCACTGTAGCTCATGCCTGTAATCCCAGGACTTTGGGATGCCTAGATTCCTTATAATCCCAGGACTTTGGGATATGCGTGTATTCCTTGAGCCCAGAAATTAGAGACCAGGCTGAACAACATGGGGAAATCGTGTCTTTACCAAAAAATAAAAAAAAAAGACAAAACCACACACACACACACAAATTAGCTAGGCGTGGTGGTGCACACACAAATTAGCTAGGCGTGGTGGTGCACACCCATAGTCCAAGCTACTCTGGAGGCTGAAGTGGGAGGATTGCTTGAGCCCAGGAGACAGAGGTTGCAGTGAGTTGAGATTGCCCACCACTGCACTCCAGCCTGGGCAATAGAGTGAGACTCTCTCTCAAAAAAAAAAATTGCTGAATTGTTTTCATTTGTTGGTTCTATATGTACCGATTGTTACTTCTTTCCCAGTAGCTCAACAGCACTGCCAAATGCCCAATGATTTTTTTTTCAATCACTCAAAACACAGCAATCTGTCAGTTCCATTTTTTCCCAAACTGCCTATCCTACTGTAGTTTAGACTGTTCATTCTCAAAACCTGTTGCATAACTATTGTTCTGCGACTTGCTTTTGCCTCCCTCCAAGGTAGTATTCCCTGTTTCCTGGATCCCATGTTTTCTTTCTTGGTTTACTCCCTCCCTTTCCTAGAATATGCCTAGAAGC